CTCCAAAATATTGGGGTCCACCATCCTGAATAAGTAATCAGCAATCATAGAACAAGAGGATCAGTCGTGTGAGGCCTTCAGAAGTACTGGGTAGGGCATTGATCTTGTCATCAGGGTTTTAGGATCCGGAGTCCCAATAGGCCAGGCTCACTCATTCATTCCACACTGCCAGTCTGCAAGACCATCAGTGGTGCAGAGCAGCACAAGAGCTTAATCAGCATGCCATACTGGTAGAAAAAGATAAAGAGGTTCAAGATCCTGTCTTGCAGGAGCTAATAGGAACTTTGAAGTTTTATAGAAAAAGAGAACAAAAGCAAGGGTTGGGTGTGTGCTTCAGTGGGAGCTTTACACAGCTGGTAGAGTAGGTAATCCTGCTCAGAGGATGGTTTGGTTGATCAGTCTCTCTAGAAGAGCCATCATCCTTGAAAGGGTAATGGTTCTACATGAAACAATCACACACACATGGGGATAGTCTCATTATGAAATGGTCCATTCTGTAAGGCTTGCATTGCTTGGGAGTATTTTGGCCCCTGGGGATAAAGACATCTAGCAAACAGACTCACCTTTACTGGAATCTAAAGTGACCACAGAAGAGAATGACTCAAAAAGAAATACAAGTTATAAAGAGGTAAATGAAACCAAGGAGGAAGAAAATAAGCTAGTATGGCCAGGGATGACGATCTCTCCTTCAATTGAATTTTTTCTGCCTACACACAAATTTCTGTAAGCTGTGTTTTTTAACCAATGCCAATGCCATCATTTGTTGTTTACCTCATTCTCTAAGAAGCAAAATTTTAAATATTCTTTTAGTTAATAAGAACTTGTAGCTTTACTATGCATAAACAAGTAGAGAAGTGATAAGTAATTGTTTAATTCAGGGACTTCTTTGTTGTCAACCACTGAAGGCCATAAAGACTATGTAATCTTCCTGTGACATCAGTACTGCAGGGATTTATGGTTTTCAAAATATGCTGTCTTTGAGGGACCTTCATTAGGCCTTACTAGCGGCAATTTTTCCCTAATGATAGTGGATTCATGGTGATCCAATTTCTCCCAGAGCTATTTGTGAACACAATAACTTTCATTTGCTTCTTATACTTTGTTTTTATACTTTTCTGCTGGATGGTTAAGAACAAGATAAAGCAAGACCTATGCAACAAGAGTTGTAGTTTTTGGATCTGATAAGATCAGTCAAATCCCCTCAGGATTTATGCTGAAATCCTGTACCTCAGATTGTAGATCCTTTGTCAGTGTCAGCCATGTGGATGATTCATGGTGATCCGGCTATTGCTTGGCCAATGTGCTCCCCATGAAAGCCTGAAAGAATGTTTTCTCTCCATCATCGATCCCTTTCCTCTTTGACCCCATAATCTCCTTGACCAGAAAATTTGGGACACTACTGAGTTACATGATATTACAGTACAAGATCTCATATGTCCTGAGTCTTAATTGACCTTGGAAGGTTAGAGCAAAAATGTTGGCTTTCCTTGGGGCCCTCCTTTTTCTCTAATTTTGGTCTGCAAACTTAGGTTGTTAACCATTCATAAGACAAGCTTATTGTTATTACCATACAACCTAAGCTGTTAAGCTTAACCTCACTATCTGTCTGAATATCAAACATCTTAGGCATAACATAAAGCCATGTTGTTATGTTGAGCTGTAGGGGACTCAGGTCAACAATTTCTGACACTGTCAGTCAAGCAGAAGACCCAAAACTGTTATAGATTACTGGACTCTTTTAGAATATTTTGCTAAGTTAACACACATATAATATTCAAATGATAGAGCTAAACAAAAAGGGGGATATATAAATGAATGTCCATTTTGTATCTGTGTATTCAAAATGGTTAGGATAGATATATAGTTACATTCTCTTAATGAATAGAGGCATTTGTTCTAATAGAGTTTGTAAATAGAATATCATATCTGCATCTTGTACAGCAAATAACCACTAGAAAGAGAGTATGCAATGTGTTAATTATTGAAACTGTCCTACCAATTTGATTTGAAACTGTCTCATTGCTATTTGTATCGCAATAAAATTGTGGAAAAACATAACTTTCATTTGCAAGACAAATGGCTGGTTCCACAGCAGACTGTATAAAAATAAGAGAAGTAAACTAAGCTGGGTAAATAACTTGAGAGTGTTTTAAAACTTAAGCAGAATTAGTTACACTGTATTCATTTTTCTGTTTGGTTATTTGTGAATATATAGGGGAAAGGTATAAAATTTCATAAGAAAGGTATAAAATTAAATCACACTTAGTTTTGCTTTTAATTAGAAAACATTTACCAATGTTAAGTGTAGCCTGACGAATTGTAGACAAATCTGTTAGAATTCTGCCTTCTTTCTGAACCCCCAGCCTGTTCTTCAGTTCCATGTGGATGGCCTTCCAGCATCCTGTAGCTCAACATATCCAAAAGTGAATACCTTCTTTTCTTTCTCGGACCTCTAGCTGTGCTTGTTCTCTTGGCCTCTGCTATTCTTCCCAAGCTTGAGTTATCTTATTTTCTCCTTCCTCTGTCCTCCTGTGTAGCAAGTCAGCCTCCTACCCCATTATCTCTTCCTGCCAAATAGCTGCTTGCTATACTTTTCACTCCAGAGCCTCTGCCTTAATTCATGTCTCCACCATTTCTCCCAAGCAAAGCCTATCCAGATCCCTCTCCTCAACCTGCAGCATAACTGTGGGTTAGTATACACACCCTTTCATGGTTTGTTTTCATCTGGCATTAGCTCCACCCCCACCCCACCCCCATGAAGTCCTTTCACAACTCCAGCCTTTGAATTGGCTATCCTTGCTTCTCTGCTGAACAAGCATTGATTCACAATTGAAAGAATCAGGACATATGTACTGTATGTTTACACTTGAGTAGATCTAATTCTACCCTTCAATCTGTGCAGTGTTAGACCATTGGGTATGATCTTCTAAGTGCTTTCTCCTCTATGTTCTTCCATATACATTCTAAGTCTCTTTTGTCTCATCACCATGAACATATACAGTTTTCTCTTTACATATCATTTTATTACCAAGAGCCTTCTCTCACTGACAGCAGATTTTTAACTTATCACCAACCAAATACTCAGCTTCAACTCTTATGGCTCTTTCAGCTCTAGTGTCAGGACACCATTGCTCTTCCTCTCTTAAATGATGCCAATAAATGATCCTTGCTATTGAAAGCAATAGAGCTCATTACTCTTTAATAATCTCATGATACCACCTCTGCCAGTTGATCACATCTGAGCTGACTGCTCTGTTGCCCCTGAAATCACCACGATCCCATTCTTTAAGCAGACAAAATGAACACAAAGCCTAGGCTGTCATGTTAGCTGGGTTCCCTCCTCCTCTGGCCAAACTACACATTGGGAGTGGGTGGCCAGTGAAAGATAGGCACTTTGAGCAACTCAGGGTGACTAAACTGGCAATGCTGCTGCTTCCACGAAATGCTGAAGAGGGGAATCACGTGAGCTTAGGGAATGTGAACCACGGAGCTGGCATACCTTCCCAGGAAAATTCAGTGAAACAAATTCATCACATGACGTGATGACAGGATTTGCCAAAGTAAAGAGCTTTACAGTTGAGGTTTTTGTCAACTAGAAAATAGTGAACATAAGATCCCCTTGTGAAAATTATCCATAGATCAAACAATAGTTATTAGCCTTATAAGATATGCACATTATTGTCAGTGAATGGAATGAGCTTTTATTTCCTTCTGCTCCATCATATGCTTGTTTATTTTGTGTGTTAAACTTTCAAACTATGGCATTGAGTGTTTGTCTTTTGTGTGGATTATTCTATTACTCTTCAGAATTGCTTGAATACCAGAAGATTTGCAAGTGCTTTGATGTATTTTTTTTTGTAACAGAGCTTTGGCATTAATGTATGAAAGATTTATGCTGATAGGGTGTTAGCATCCATAAGAACCTAATTTTAACTTAGCCTTCCTACCTAAATATTTAGTAGTTCAAGTTTAACCATATAATTAATTCAATGCTCTAGTTGCCTTAATACCATCATTACTAGATCAAAAACTTTAAGCAGGATTGAGACTAGAGTTGGTTAGCTCTACTCCTAATACCTTCTACTAAGATTTCACCCCTTTTCCTGTATAGTGTTCACAATCCCTGCGCATTTATCACTCCTGTTATACTCTGTGCCTGAAAGCAACAGAAGTGATCAGTGAAATTAAGGTGATAGAGTTAAAACTCTGAGTGGTTTGAGAACCAGAGGGAAGAAATCTCATGAAAGCATTCGTGGACTAACAGTGGCATATGATCATGGGGAACTGTAGAGGGCCATAAGGTGTGGAGATCAGATCAGCATGCCAGTGCTGCTGGTCTGGTGAGCTTTAGTCAGCCTTAGAGCTGATGTGATGGCTCTTATAGCCTGTCTAGCTAGAGGCTTGGTTGTAGACAATGCAATAGAAGAAAAAACAGTAAGGAAAAAGTGACTACTGCAGTAGAGGGAAGATGTGACACAACTATTCATTGCCCCATATTAGAACCTGAACACAGTAATACCTTGAGAAGGCTTCAGTTGAGTCCTTGAAATAGAGACCAAAAGAAGAAGCAACATATATTTGGCTCTTCCCATCCAGCCACTGTACATCGGCTTGCCTTCTAAACCCCTAAATGGGCAGTCTATTATGTGCCTTTATGTGTATGTCAGTGCTCAGGTTCATGGCTCCACAGACTTAGGTATATAGCTCTCCCAAATCACATTTTTAAACAAGAGCTTAAGAATGCTTGGATGTAGGCACCAGTGACCTGTGCCCAGTCATATTTAGAATTTATTTTAACTGAAAGTTTTGGAGACAGACTTGAAGGGAGACATCCCCAACCTTGCTAAAATGTAAGTACAAAAAGGCACAGATTGGATGGATATTGATGATGTTGATTCTATTGTGACATCATCCATAGACTCCTAGTGTCTTTGCTTTGCTTCCCTATAGTGATCACAACATAAATTACTTGTCTTGTTTGACTTCCTTGTTCACCAAAGTTGAGCAGATTGTGGCCGTTTTCAACGCTTCTACCAGACAAAAAGCTTGGGACCATTTCTCGAAAGCTCAACGCAAGAACATAGACATTTGGCGAAAGCATTCTGAGGTTGGTGATTTTACTATTTCTTTTTAACCACCATCACACAGCTGGATTGGCAGAGAATAGTGTGGCTACAGCCATTACGGCTTTTGTTACAGTGGGCAGTCCTCCTGCCATTGTCCTGTTGCATCCTCGGCTCCAAATCCAGCTCAGATTTGTTCTTCGTCCACAGAAGCAGCTGACTTCACACTTAGAACATATTTTCCCCTGCAAAGGGAGAAAAAATCTTCTCATATTAGTAAAGAGCTCAGAAATAAACCAAGACACTTTATATAATAAATTAGCTTGAAGAAAAGTATAACCTAACATAGAAACTAGTTTTGAGTGTTCAAATACGACTTTTGTTTTCAGTGTTCTACGTGGTGATGACAGTTTGCTTTTTGGGCTGGAAGTGGCAAGTATGCCTTTCCATTGTTTTCATCATAAACCATGCCTTGGTCCCCTGTGCTAGCCCTTAGGTTCTATCACAGCTCTCCCCAGAGCACATTTCACAAGGGGAGTGGCCATCCAGGCTAGCTGAGTCCACCCTCAGCATCAGCGCATGTGTCAAGTGTGAGTATCCACCCTCAAGGAAGGAGTTTAGAGCTTGACCTTGGCAGGTCTAGGCAGACTAAAATGTGTCATTAGTCATTGGTCACCCAGCTGTTATTTTTAAACTCCACAGTGTAGTGTACGCTTTGAACCTGTAATTTAAAAGTAAGTATACTGTCTTTGCTTGCTTCTTTTTCTTTTAAATAAGAGAATGTTTTCATCTGGATGCCTCTTCATCTCTAGCATGTTAATATTAAAGTTCTCTAAATGATAGCTCCCTTTTTCAAAATCACAAACTTATAGAAGGTAAGGTTTATTTATTTAATGATTTTGACTCACACTTGTAAAATAAGTATTTTATAAAGAGTTTGAGGAATCACAAAGTACTGTGATATCAGTCATTTGAGTAGCATTTTAAGTGCCCATTAACTAGTGCTAAATTATAGTTGAATACCAATGGCGTAATGTAACACCCACAGAATGCCAAATGACTTCTTTAGGTGAATACTGAATGACTTTACATTAATGGGACACTTAAAATGCTAGTGTAACTTGTTAAGATGAGCATTTTAAAATTTTGCTTCACTAATGCCTCGAAAGGTGGTTGGTGACTGATACAATGTCCTTGTTCTGTCCAGGATTATAAGAAGGAAGTGGGATTTCTCATTAATTTTGGGTGGGCCCACAACAAAGTGTGTCTGATGTTCTGCTGGTCTCCCTGATACTATCTAGGAGACCCAAGTCAAACTGACTTCTCAGGAGAAAAAGAAGAGCCCTCTGTTTGTGATCCAATGTGAGCACTGAGGGTTCTGAAAGCACAAATTGGAATCCATAATCTGTGACTCGGATATGAGAAGGATCAGTCTATAAGTGACTTAATTTTTTTTCTTCATATAAAACCTAAAAATGATGAACAGAAATTTTAAGAGAAAGGCTGGTGGCATGATGGCAGAGTAACCATGGGCACAAAGAGGCTACCATTAGTGTGAGTGTGAGCAAATATTCTGATATTATTGCTCTAAATTATGCTCCCTGCCATCTCTTACTCCACTTCCCACTCTCCTTTCCTCCCCCAGATTGGTGCTATCCAGAGCAGGACCCACAGGCTTCCTGCATTGGTCCAAGGAAGCTGCTTGCTCTGTCCCCTTAGTCCTGCGGGTAGAAATGTATGATCCTGAGGGATGGGCGAAGGATAGTCCTCCCCCTTCCTCCTGCGCCTCTGTGCCTCTTAGTGCCTTCCTGCCATTTCAGCTGCTTCTTTTGGTATACATAGGAAATGGAACTCTAAATTACCTTTGATTTTCTCTCCTACATGTCACTTAATTGATTAAATACCAGTTGGTAATTTAACATTGTGGATGATTTCTCAGTTGCATATAAGCTTGATAATTGCCTTGATTTTTTCTACATTCCCGTGTACAGCATCTGCTAATTATCTGCAACACCTCTCCAGATTTATTAGTGTTCTAGTGATTTACTCCTGAACCAGAGGTGGCCTGTGGAAACACCCTGTTTTTCTTCTCCACAATGTTTTCCCATTCTGTCATGCTTCCCACAGAAACAACTATTGTATGATAGTTTGTCACTAATTGTACAAACTGACAGCAGACCCTTTCAAACAGACCCTGCTGCCTGACTTTTCCCTATTTCAAATATTTTTACACTACCTTTTTAGAAACTAGATGTTTTGTCAATAAAAAAAATTAGCTGTTCACCACCTAAAAATTTTGTCTCTAATCATGTGATGCCTGCCTCCAAGATTTGGGTTCTGGAAGGCAGAAGTGAGACATCTTTCTTAAAGAGGTGTCTGTTATCCCAGAGGTCTGTTGGCTGCTGTGATGGCTGGTCCCCAGACCATGCCTATCTACCATGTCCCATTTCTGTCCTTTGCAGGGCACAGAGATGACCATTCAAGCACTTTTAGCAATTAGTAATTTCCTTCCCATTGTGCTTCAGTTAAAATCTGTGAGCTCAGTAGAAAAGGGAATTTAGAGCACCTTCAACATTTGATGAAATAGATCCATATCAAAACATCACGAAAAGTATGTCTAAAGCCATGCTTTAGATAAATTAGGTGGATTAACTTAGTTTTAATGTTACTCATAGGTATTATAAGGTAAAGTTATTTTAAATATTAGACTTTTATTTAGAGATTTCAATTTTAAGGAGGGGAAAAGAATAATGAAGCCCTTTCCCCATTTTGTCTTTTTAAAGACAATCTACATAAGGAAACAGAATGAATTAGGATTCTCAAATGAAAATATACAACTTAGTATAAATAATAATGCATTTGTTTAACAGAAACAGTTACAATGTCCTCATTTTAGGCACAGTAGTAAAAAATTGTGTATACTTTTTACAGTGAGCTTTCACATAAACTATTGTATTCAAACAGCCTTGTATTATTATTATTCCCCATTGTAGGCGAGTAAACAAAGACTCAAAGAACTTGAATGACATGATTACATTCACTCTCCTATTCAGTGCAGAATGTAAGATATAACCCTCAAATCTATGGCTCTAAAGGTAATGCTGAAGCAGCCATCACCACAAAACTCAAAACCTCTGCATGATACCGTAAAACCTCAAAGAAGAAGGCACCCATTTATGCGGTTCCCAAACAGCTTTTGGAGCCTGAATTTGGGCTCTCTGGATTATAGGGAAATGTGTATGATCACACCCAGGCCCGGGCAGAGGCTCTGTGTTCACGTGGAAATAGCGGGGGATCATATTATCGTCTTAGCAAAACAAACGTCTAGGGTAATAGTAAGTCTTTTATGTACATTACCTCATTTCATCCACAAAACCCTTGATATCACAATATTCTAGGGGGGAATGAGGCTAATATATATGAATGAATGACAGTGAAATTAAGCATGGGCCATAGTAGACTAGGCTTTTAAAATCTTTATTGCTGCTGTTCTTAGCCAGTAGCTATACAGTACCTGCTATGAGGCAGCCATAATAATAGGTATTTCTGTGTAATCCTTGCAAAAGCACTATATGTTATTATCCTCTGTCCCTCTTTTGTTTAAACAAACAAGAAAATACTGATTCAAGAGAAGTTACATGTTTGTTAAGAAGCTCTTAACTAGTCTTTGATGAAGAGTAGTTTATTTCACCTGACACTAAAGCATATCTCATCCTCCTCAGAACTTCATTCTAGATTAGATGGGGTGATGTTTGGGTAAAAGCGTCCAGCTATAAATATTAACATGTCAGTCATAATATACCCAAAGGCCACTGGAAAACTGTGTGATAATATGTGTCCTAGACTCTGACCTTCACATGTCCTCCACTTTCAGGAGCTCCGGAATGCTCAAAGCGAGCAGCTCATGGGCATCCGCCGCGAGGAAGAAATGGAAATGTCTGATGATGAGAACTGTGACAGCCCTACTAAAAAAATGCGAGTCGATGAATCAGGTAATGCTGATATCTGCAGCATACCCATGAGATACCACAATGAGTGTCCAAAGACTGGGAGTAAGTAGCGGAGAATGGAAGTATAACTCACTTCTGAGTTATACTAAACTTTCATCTTTGAGTGACTCTGCCTTTTAGTAATAGGACTTTAAACTTCTTCTTAGGAACAGAATGATTTAAATCGCTCCAGTTATTTCTTAATATGTAGATCTGGGGCTTTTATACTTTTTTCAGAGATATTTGCCTGTTCCCATAAAAATCCTTTTCCAGAGTATGACAGCAATAGCGATACTGAAACAGATAAATTTTGATTTCAGTAGTATACTTCTTAAGTGAGAATTGTTTAATTCCTAAAGAAGCATTTTAGCCTCTGAACCAACATGTTAGAAAATTAGGCTTTTTCCCTAATATAGGTTGGTTTACCTAACCTATAATCAAGGGTCACCCCATTTGGTAGCATAGTAGGGGCATCATTTGAGCTGGACGTTTAGAAATGACCTTGTTTTATGTGTTATGTCTAATCTTAGATGCTAATTAAACCTTTTCTTGAATCATATGTGAATTCTTTGGTATTTTAAAAGTAAGCAAGGAAATATTTATTCAGAATTTGAGACACCAAGGAAAACAACTTATCAGCAGGGAAAAGGGTTATTTAAGTGACCTAAGAAGACCCAGAACTGCCACAAATTCCAGGAAAAAAAATAGATGGTACAGGTTTGATCTGTATTTTCTTGCATACTCATGAATAAAATACATGCCTATCTCAAGTTTGAACAAAAACATGGCAGGTATATGAAATAGAGGAGTTTTGTTAATTGTTGCTAGAAATACAGGAACAAAAGGAAAGTTCTTTTTGTTCCTTGTTGTTATTGAAATGAACTGAAAACAGACTAAATAGAAGAAAAGATACATAAATTTAGGGGGTATATGGATGCGATCACAATGTATAATCATTCACCAGCCCAACATGATTCAAAAGCATGTATACTTCTTCCCCAAGTGAGAAACAGAATGATGAATGGAAATAATTTTTAGAGAAATACTAAATTACTTTTAGGAGTCTTCAAAGGGCTTGGAGAAATATCTACTGTCCTGAGATAAAGCCCCAGTAGGTCCACACAGAAGACAATAGATTGTAAATGCTTCTCTTTGGAATGTTGAGTGGGATCAAAATAAAAGAGAAGAATGAGTGACAAAAAGCTATCCAGGTGTGTTGACAAATTGAGTCTTTATTCCTGCAGCATGAGTTTAGTTATGAAAGCTTAGGGAATGGACCAGAGATAATTGTGTTTTTCCTTGGGGAATCAGATTTTAAGTGGACAAAAAGATGTCAGATGCAGTCTTTCTATTCAAAGCTTCTTCCAGCAGCTGCTGCTCACTGACTTCTTGTGACTTATGAAATCAGCACTCCAGGATATTTTAGTTGATGTCCCTGAATGTATTTGGAGACCAAAATCCAGAATGATTAGGTCATCAGGACTGCAGAGGGGTTCGGATAATCACAAGAAAACCCTTCGATTCAGGCCATACTGAAGGGGCTTTAACTTCCTAAAAGCAGTACTTCTCAAAAGGATGGCCCCTAGTCTATATAAGCATCAGCTAGGAACTTACTAGAAATGTAACTTGAGGATCAACCCCAGCTTACTGAACAGAAACTTCTAGAAGGCAAATTAGATTCAGCAATTTGTGATTTAAGCCCTGGAGGGAATTCTGATTGATGGATGCTAAAGTTTGAGAACCACTGCCTTAGCAAATTGGCCTTTCATCCTCGATTACCATTCATTTAAATCTCTTAGAAGCTTAGTGTATAAGTATACACTATGCCATTACTTTCTGAAGCCATATATCCTTTGCCTAAAAAATAAACCTAGCTTTTATATGTCAATGGATGTGTCTTATTAAGCTGATAACAGACTTCTCAAGAATGTTTTACTATGGGGTTTAGATTTACTTGAGTCCACCTTCCTTACAGCATTTCAATTCTACAAGCCTTTATATGTCAAAAGAAGGAAGAGTTAGTGTGATTTTTTTAAAAAAAAAAAAATCATTGAGATCTTGAGATAAAAATTTTTGTCTCTAAACAGCTTTCATCATTTTTAAGGTTTATTGATGAAGGGCAAATTTACATGAGAACCAGATTCTTAACATCCATATGAGGTCGAAGAAAACAATTGAGTCGATCAGAAATTTTTATTTGAACCTATGCCTGGGGGGGGGGGATTTGTTTCTTTTAAGCAACTTTATCAATTTGCAAAAGAAACAAAATATGTATAATTTCATAGTCTGCTTAGGCTTGAAGTAGAATGAATGACCAGTATGTTCATGGGAGCTCCTGCAAAACTACAGCCCTGGCACTTGACACCTGCTGCAAGTGGCCCATGAGATTTTAGGGACCTCTACCCTCAGCAGAATCAGAGGTTTTCTTTGGCACTCCAGTGATGAGCTCTGTTTCTGACCTCACTTGCTCTTTCCCCCAGGCATCTGATGAGAACGTGAAGTAGAACCTGAACTTATAAAAACTTTTGCCAGGCTGGTTACCTGATCAGCAAAGTTAATGAGCAAACATAGCCTGTACATGATGTCTACCAGCCACTGAGGGAAGTGATAAAAGAACTGGAGTTCAAATGCCAGGTCCCAAGCAGTTCAAAGTCTTTCTCATGCACTTCAAAATGAGCTGGGCCAGAGGGCATGGCCTGTGGTTTCTGAAGAAAGCATAGGACTGATTAAAGGGAAGGGAAAGCAGCTGACCTTTTTTATTCCACCAGACCCTCAAGACCCTGTCGAAAGGCAGGTGGCCCTTTTCTTTCAGCCCTGCATACTCAGGGACATGGCCTGACAGCAAGAAATTCTCATCTGGTCTGTTGACTAGACTGCACAGAAATTCCTGCTAATGGCTGTTTGAGGCAACAGATGCGGGACAAGGAAGGCCCCATGGTCAAGGGAGACACCTAGCCAGGGTATCTTGTTAGGTTATACAACACTGATCTTTAGGTATGCCTTTGAACTATCAGTTACCTACAGAGACGCAGGCTTTTGATACTGGTGTCCTGCATCACTCATGGAAAGTGTTAAGTACAGAAAAAGGGTTGTAAATCTGTCTTCCAAGGCACCCCTTGCCTGTTTCCTCTGTTAAAACAGCAATTTTACTTTAAAGCTCCTAGGAAAGTAGCAAGGACAGGAATTCTTAGAAACTCCAGAAAGAAAGTCTTTTGCAAAAGAGAAGTCACCTGCCACAGCTAGAAGGATGGAGGGACTGCACCCCAAAGGATGTTCCAGGCTTTTCTTGCTGTATCCCCATGGGACAGACTACCTCTAGGGTCTTATTTCTGGGGGAGATAGAATTGACTTTGTTTCTATAAAACGCACATTTTATTATATAAGGACTTGTATGATATTTTAGGTTTAGTTTTTATTAATAAACAAAACATCTTAATATATCTCTGCTTTTCTGATTATGAAGAATATTCCTTTGTACATTTGCAGTTCAACACTAAGATAATTTATGACCTATCTTTGATGGCAGTTCTCTAGCACTACAGTGTAATTAGGGGCAGGCAGTTCACACTTCCCCATCCATTGATCTTAAGGGTAAAAAGAGTTTCTGGAAGCAAAACTAGGAATCTGATAAGAATGGAAATGTGTGCTGTTAATAAATTTGAAAATCAAGACAGATTTGCAAAAGCATCCACTCAAGAAGGTTGGCATACTACTCTGAAGCATGTGAAGATCATTTTTGATAAAAATTCAAGTGTATTATTATTTATTTATGCTTCTTATTAGACTGAAGCCAAATTTTCATATACAGATCTGTTCTTCCCCTCTTCATCTCTCCTCTAACCTTCCCTATTCTTCATCTTTTGCATTCCCTCTTGATTCTCCACCTTCCCTATCTTCTTCCCCTCTCCTTTTTCTCCCCAGCCCCTTCCTCTCCCTTTTCTTCCCTCACTGCAGATAGATGGTGGGTGATGGGCAGGTATATACAAGGGGAGAAAAGGCCTGGTGTGACAGAGCCTGGTAGTTTTGATGTTATGAGAGTTAAATGAGCCAAGGCACATACCGGGTTTTACAGTTACTACCTAGTACAAAATGGGTGCTCAGTAAGTGAGCAGTGCCTAGTATGTCAGTCATCCTCTGACATGTGGCCCTAGGCCTTTCCCTGTAAAAGTTTATTTAACTGCATACTTTCCCTCATCTGCTTTTAATTTTTTGATATCTCTACCCTCAAAATCAGGAAGAAGATGGTAACACTGGAACATTTACTCTGATTAAATTAAAAGCCAAGTGTTAAAAAAGCATGCTTAAGTAAAGATGGTTCCTTTCCTCGAAATGTTTAGAATTTAATACACAACTCAGTGCCACATGTTGAATCGGCTTAATTCTAGTTAAGGACCAGCACTGGCAGAACATCGTCTCCTGCCGAAGGCACTGGGGCGCTGGGTAGAAAGGGGTTAGATGTGCTGAGGATGTAGCTCAGTGGGAAAGCACTTGCTTCCTATGTGCCAGACCCTCACTGCCAAAGAAATGTAAAATGTTGATGCCACTATGGGGATACATACCTGTAATCTAAGTACTCTGGGAGGCTAAGACAGGAAGAGTGTGAGTTTGAGCCCAACACTGGCAACTTAATGAGACCCTGTCTGTAAATCGAGGCAGCTGGAGATGTAGTTCAGTGCAAGGCCCTGGGGTCAGTCTACATTGCCCCCTGCAAAGTGAGGTACAGAGACCATGCTCCCAGGGTAAGGTAAAACTTTTGAAGAGAATAAACATTTTAAATTAATAAAAGTGGAGTCTACTAATACATATGTTCTAACTCCAATAAATCAAACTTAGTATAAACTAAGATGGACATAACTACTTACTGTGTGTACCCATCCAATATTTGATGAGTGTACATTGGACACAGGTTTTAGAAGAATGAAACTGAAGCATTCCCTGTTTAGTAGACAGCCTTTACTGTGCTCTCAACAGGGCCGTAATCCATATATCTTGCTGATGAGTGG